GCGCGCGAAGCCCTGCAACGCCTCGCACTTGCCGCGCAGCGCGTCGAGCTCCAGGCGCATGGCGGCGTTCTCGCGCGCCAGCTTGTCCACCTCGCGCTCCAGCTCCGACTTCTGCTTCTGCAGCTCCTCTTTCTGGCACACGCGCTTCACGCGGCAGCTGGCGGCGTAGCCGCGGTTCTTGAGCGTGCGGCGCCGCTGCTTGAGCCGCGTCACCTCCTCGGCCGAGAGCCCGCGCAGGTTCCGGTTGAGCTCGCGCACCGACAGCCCCATCAGCGCCTCGTCCGACAGGTGCGGCGTGTTCTCGCTCAGCTCGCGCTTGACCTGCGGGCAGGGGAAACTGAGGCCGTGGGTCGCGAGTCCCGGGCCTGGCGCGCAACCCGCGCAGGGGACGGTCCTCCCCCACTCCCCCCCAGCCCTGTTCCTCCGTCGCCGCCTTGGCCACAGAGGCGGTGGCTGGACTTGATCCAGGCCCTTGAAGGGGACAGGAATCCGGAAGGGGAAACCAGGCCAAACCAGGATCGAACTCGAAAGGAGGCCACCCCAGGGCTCGGCCGAAATCTAACCAAGCGTCAAGTCCTGGACTCAGCCAGAACCCAGCCCGGAAAGCACCTCTGAATGGGGAAGCAGGCCCAGAGTGGGAAGTGACCTGGCCCCATGCCACCATAAATGTCTGGTGCCGGCTGAGCCACCCACCCTTAGGGAGGCCAGGAAAGGAAGGGGAAGTTAGGATGTGGAGGCTCTGTGTGGGCCGAGAGGGGGCAGAGGACAACAGGAGCAGACACCTCACCTTCAGGGCTTTGCTGGATAAGGGATCCACAGACATGGTTGCAGACCTAGGAGACAGAGGAGGTCAAGGTCACTTTGGGGTCCTCCCACACACACACTTAGAGTAAAATCCAAACTCACTACCTGAGAACTGAAGCCTGACACCTTCCTCTGACCCGAGGGTGCAGCCTTCTTAATTAAATAGATCATTCTAGCCTCAGGGCCTTTGCACTCACTGTTTTCTTTACTGTTCTCTCCCCTTAGGGACTCCTGGTCATCCAGGTCTTTGCCCAATGCTGTCTCCTCTGAGAGATCTTCCCTGACCATCCAGACTCAAACCCCACATTGTGTCATTTATCAAGCCTCATAACAATCATCTTTTGTGAAGTTCTATTTGGTTCCAATTCTGGCTTATGGCTTGTCTCTCCCTCCCACACCTCTTCCACCAAAATTTCAGGCCATAAGAATAGGGCCATCACCTGCCTTATCACTTCATCCTTCTGCCCACTTCCAAGACTGACATGCAGGGGGCTCTCATTTATTGAGAGCACCGCCCACAGTCCATTCTTCCCAGAGGCTAAGACATGCCTATTTGATGTTTCTAAAAAGTTTCATGGAAGTATAACCTACAGAGAGACTGTTCCTTACAACTTGGGTGGGGCTGGGGTGCAGCTCCAAGGTGGAGTGCTTGCCTGGCATGCTCAAGGCCTGACTCCGCCCCCCACTACCACCCAGTAAAACCCAAACCAAAAAACACATGCACAAAACGTGTACTTCCCAAAGGACAGCCAGCACCGCAACAAGATATGACATCCCGGTCCCCCCCTCAGGTCACCCTCATTCAGGCCTGTATTTTAGGAAAGCTTCCCCAGCTGCCTGGGGGTAGCTGGGCACTAACTCAGCTTGTCCCTGGGCAGATGGGGTAGCAGCCCTGGGCTGGTGAGGGACCATCAGCCCCCAGTCCTTCCCTGCGGGCCTGAATGTTCTAACAACGACCTGTCAAGCAGCTACTGTTTGCCAGCCGTGTGCGCCTATAGTCCCAGCAAGGAGACCTCCTGTGGAGGCCGAGGGAAGAGGATCACCAGTTCAAGACCAGCCTCAGCAAGTACTGAGACCCTCCCTGCCTCAAAAAAATAAATAAATAAATAAATAAAAATAAAAGGTCTGGGGCTGTAGCTCACTGGTAACACACTCCTGGGTTCAATCCCCAGTTCAAGAAACAAAACCAAAAAAACTTCATGGAGGGGACATTCCAGAGGTCAGTGGTCGTCACTTGAGGCTGGAGAAGGGAACCACCTCCCCAAGGGGACCCTTTGAAGAAGTGATCCTCTGTCCCCTGTGGATCTGATCTTCTCTCTGCTTTAGTGTGAGCCTCAGTTTACTCACGGGACAATTCCCCTGGGCAGGGGACGTGGTAAGGAGCAAAGGAAAAGGCAGGTGTTTTGTGATCTGAGGTGCGGCCCCCTAGGCACTGTCCTTAGCGAGACCCGGGAGGCGAAGGACGGTCCAGGCTTTGGATCCTTGAGCTGTCTGTGGGTCGGACCTCATGGGTCAGCCCAGCCTCTGACACATCCTGGCAAGGTCCAGCGGTCTCCTGGGGACACATCAGAGAAATGGAAAGTGCACGGACCTGGTACCAGACATACCTGAGCCTTTTGGAAGGGTCCCCTTGCCAACCATGGGGACAGGTATGTGTCTGGCAGGTATGTGACCCTCTCTATGCTTGCTTTCCCCTTGGTGACAGAGTAGTTGGGTGTTAATCAGATCACCTCATGCCAGTCTTGGGACCCTTCCAGGGCTCCCATCTCACTGGAAGTAAAGCCAGGTCATCACAGTGGCCACAAGGAACTGCCCAATGTGCCCTGCGCAATTGCCTCTGACCAGCCACTGGCCTCCCCAGCTCTGTTCCTCCTGGACCACCTCCTTGCGGCTCCTCCAGCCCCCATGTGCTGCTCCAGGGCCCCTGCATGGCGCCTGCTCTGCCTGGCATGGGGATCCACTAGCTCGCAGAGCTGTGCCACCCCTCAGGTCTCTTCAAATCTCAGCGTAGAACCAACCCCTGGCACTGGCAGAGACCCACGCAAGCTCTCTCCCCTTCTCCCGCCCCCGCCTGTGTTGTAGCACTTTTCAGTTTGTAATTATTAGTCACAAACATTTTATGTATTTGTTCAGCGTCTGCCTCCTGGAGAGTGTCTGCTCCCAGAGGGACAGAGCTTGCACCCGCGGACTCCCCAGGGCTTAGAAGAGCGCTTGGCCAGAGCGCATGCTTGGGGTGCTAGTGGCTGAATTCCCAGGGTGACTCAGGCTGAGGTGGGGACAGTCCAGGGCTTTTTGGGAACCCCCAGCCCCTGCAGGCCCACACAGTCAGGGGTCTGGCACCTCAGAGGGAAGGAGCAGACAGAAAAGGGAAGTTGGCATTTCAAGAGGTTCCTCCGACAGAAGCCACTGCGCCCCTGGGGCTGGGAGGCTCTTAAGAGCCACCAGGCTTTTGGGATGTACTGAGACCCGAGGCCCGAGTTTGAGAGAACTTCCCCAACTGCCTGGGGCTGCTGGGCACCAACTCCGCTTGTCCCTGGGCAGATGGACTGTGAGGGGCACCGGCCCCAGTGCCTTCCCTGCGGGCCTGAAAGCCTCGTGTTCTTCTAACAACCAAGAGAAGGCCCTGGGCAGCCCGGACTTCCTCAGAGATCCTGGGGGGGCGGGGGTAAGGCCCACTTCGCAGGGCGGACCCCTGAGCTGCAGCCCACATTGCTAACCGCAGGCTCAGCCTGGGCTCTGGCCGGTTCCCTGCCTGGCCCTCCAGCCACGATGGGACTTGGGCCCTGGCTGCCCCTTCAGCTGTCCGTGGGGACCTCGACGCCCTGCCCACCCCTCCGGCCTGGACAAATCATATGCAACGTGCCAGCCTCCTGACTCAGCGGATGCTACCTGTAGATGTCCACACGCCACTCGCACCAGTCCCACCGGCCACACAGCCTCTTGAAAGGGCGCTGCCCCTGCCGCACACCCAGGGAGTCCAGCCTCAGTGCCCCCTCCCCACGGCGACCAGAGGGTCTTTCCACCAGGTGAATCTAAGCCACTCCCATGGCTCCCTCCGGTCCTGAGTGCGCAGTCCAGGCCACCCGCGCAGCACCCCAGGACCTGCGTGTCCAGCCCTGGCCCTTTCCCACCACAGGGCTCCGTTCTGCATTCCAGACACGAGGAATTTCTTTCACTTCCTCCCACCCCCAGTTCATGCCTCTGGGCTGTCCCCTACCTCGTGACACTTTCCGCTGTTCCCTCCTCCCCACTTCTCCCACTAGACTCCTGCTCATCCATCCGCCCTGGGCACAGACCTCTCCTCCAGGAAGCCCTCCTGAGCCCTCGCCCTCCCCACCACAGCCGCCGTCCCAGGGTCATAACCGTGGCTTTCCTTTCCATCGATGAGCTGGGTCAGCCCTGCGGGTTTAAGGCCACCCAGCGCAGGGCCCTGCAGGGCAGGAGCCGGCACTGGGAGGGGCTGGGTAGTCTGATGCAGTCGCCCAGCTGGTCAGTGTCCAAACCCAGTTCCAAGGTCAAGCCTAGTGCAGAGGAAGCTCCCGGCCCAGTCTCCAGCTCTTTCTGTTTCCCTTTGCCTCCTTGCTCCCATGGTGAAGAGGTTACAGATGCCAGGAGAACAGGAGGGGAGCAGTAGGGACCCCATCTATGTGCAGCTGGGCCCGCAGAGGGTGAGGGAAACAGAGAAAGTGGCGTGGTCAGAGGCTAGCCTGGTTTCAGTCCCATCCCTGTGTTCCCCGGGCTGTGTGACCTCGGGCGAGCTGCTCAGCCTCTCTGGGTCTCCACTTTCCCATCTGTAGGAACAGCACAATACCTGCCTCATGGGGTTTTGGTGGAAGCAAGTGGTATAACTGCAGAGGTCAGTGACCGTCCAGGAGGAGCGGGGTTCAGGCCTGCAGCCAGCACTAGGGTCCCGCTCTGATTCAGCGCCTCCCAGCTGGCCAGAGTCACTCAGGGAGCTGCAGGAAAGGCTTACAGGCCATTTGCCCCCACCCCACGCCCATTTTGGCCCACAGGAGATAGAGACCCATCATTTGCCTGAAGTCACACAGCAGGTGAGTGGCTGCCTCCCTGCAAAGAGAGAGGAATTCCGAAGCCCATAGAAACCCAGGACTGAATCCTAATCCCTTCCCACCACTCCATCCCTGGCCTTCCTGACAGCTCTGTGAATTGCCTCTGGAGTAGCCCACCCTGAGGAGGCCACCAGGGGCCACCTGCCTCCTCACAGTGTGACCCTGGCAGAGCCTTTCCCTGGGTCCTGTTTACCCCCACAGAGGAAGTGCACTTGACAGTCTCCAGGCCCCTCAGCTCTGGAACGCCAGGATTTGGGTTAGGCCTGTCCTCAAGTACCCAGGGCCCTCGCCACCCGCTGTTTGGGGAACTGGTGTGTTGAGTGCTGTCTGGGCCACACGGAGACCCAGTGGGAGAGGGAAAGCCTTTTCTGGCGCAGGTAACTAAGCCTGCTGGGTGCTGGGTGCTGGTGCTGAGTTCTGGGTGCTGTGCCTAGCACAGAACCTGGGTTGCATAGCCTGGCCCCTCGCTCGGTCACTTTTCCCTTGGGAGCTGGTCTCCCCATCTGTAAAGTTCGGGAGGACTGTAACTGCATCCGCGCGTAGAAAACACAGGCAGCTCAGACGAGATCCCGGCTGCGCACGGTTGGCTCATCCGCATCACCCCCCCTTCTCTCTGCTCCCAGCTCCAGGGACACCGTGGCCTAATCACAGCACTCCCCCAGGGAGGTGAGACTCAGCCCCGACCCTCTCGACACTGAGCGTGGACACAGCCTCAGAATCCTTCCCAACACAGCCCCCGCCCGAGAGGAAGCCCAGGCTGAACGGCAGCCGTCCCCTCTCCTGGAGGCCACGAAGCCGGCTGGCTGCGCTCTGAAGACTCTCAGCGGGTTCCTGCCTCCTCTCCCCCACCGCCTCCTGCCTTGCCTCAGCCCCTGACCGCATCCTTGCTGAGAGCTGGGGCACCCCGTTTGCCCAGGGATGTCCTGGCTCAGCAGTCAGGCAGCTGCCGAGGCAAAGTCACAAGAACCGGGAGCTTTCCAGCGGCCCTGGGCTTTCAACTTCAAGGCCCAGGCCGGGACTCCTAGGACTGTCCTCCAGGCTGGCTGGCCTGGCCCTGCCCTGCCCAGCTGCTGCTCTTCTCTGAGGGAGACAGCAGAGCGGACCTCCAGGTCTGGCTTCCCAACACTCTTGGGCGCTCCACGCGGTGAGCTGATTCCTGGTCCTCGGCTGCCCAGGCGGAGGCCATGAACCCTCCCACACACCCGGCCTGGCCCCCAGGCCACTCCAGAGACACCCTATAGACAGGCCCACCCACTGGCACAGGCTCCGCCCTGGCTGCTGACCCCTCTTGCTTGCTCTGTGAGGACAGAGGGAAAAAATGTGTTTTCCTGGTTCTTGGCAGAGCGCTGTGTAGCCTCCTCCCTGCTGGAAAGGACGCGGCGGAGAACAGGCAGGACAGGGCAGCGGGGACTGGGGAGACGCCCCAGCTTCGCAGCCCACTCACTCGCTGTGCAGCGTGAGGTGTGTCACCCCATCTCTCTGGGCCTCAGGTCCCCAACATGCCTAACTTCCCAAGTTTAGGGCACCTCCTACAAGAACCATCTCTGAGGTTAGAGATTCTAGCCCAGAATGCAGCTCCCAGACCCTCAGCAGAAAGGGGGCCTTGGAGGAGGGGAGGGAATCAGTGAGGGCATCCTGGGGGCAGAGGCACCAGACACAAATGCCATCTCAGCCTTGGTCATCCTGCTCCACCTGCACAGCCTGGCTACGGGCCCTTTCAGCTGGACCAGGACCACAGCCTTGGCCTTGAGTCTTGCCACCCTTCATCTCCAGCCCCAAGAGAGCTCACAAGGGTCATCATGGACCCCAGACTACAAACCTGGCCACGACTGGCATGTTTAAAGACTGGCACTACCAGCCTCTCCCCCAGCCCATGGGGGTTCCTGGGGCCTCAACTCGTCTCCTCCACTCCCTCCCAGAATCAGGCTAACAAGGAAGGAACAGCAAGCAGCAGACCTCCCCAATTACTGTCTCCCAAAAGGGACAAAGGGACTGTGTGTGTAGAACAAAGTGACTTGAACTCTACAGGATCTGCTCACTTGGGGAGGCTGCCCACAGCCTAGCTGGGCACAGTGGTGCACACCTGTCATCCCAGCAGCTTGGGAGGCTGAGGCAGGAGGATCTCGAGTTCAAAGCCAGCCTCAACAAAAGCAAGGTGTTAAAAGAGACTCGGTGAGACCCTGTCTCTAAATAAAATACAAAATAGGGTTGGGGATGTGGCTCAGTGGTCCAGTGCCCCTGAGTTCAATCCCCAATATTTAAAAAAAAAAAAAAAGAGTCCCACAGCCTATGCCCTGATTTTCTGTTTCCCTGGGTTCTCAGGCCTTTTTCTCCATGTGTCATGGAATTCTTCAAGGACATGAACCGGGTGCTCGATTATTCAATCAGTAAACATCCAAGAAGCACCTGTTGTGTGACAGGCTCTGTGTTGGGCTCTGGGCCAGAGGAATCAAGCCCCTGCCCTCAAGGGCTTCACAGACAGTTACAGCTCCACCAGGCTCTGTGACTAGTCACCTCCCCTGGGAAACCTGCCTGGATTGCCTGGCTAAATCAGAATCCTGTTAGATACTTTCAAGCCAGAGTGACATCTGTGCACACCATACTGCCCACTGCCATCTCAGCTGTGGCTTTGCGTACAGTTTTGTGGCTCTTCCTTCAATGCTGTTTCCTGGGCTTGGCTGTAAGCTCCAGGGGTGTGTGTGGGGGGTGTCTCTGGATCTGGTTTGTCATCTCCCAGCACTCGGCCCACCACAGGGCTCCGGGGCAATGCAGGATTAAAAGCATCAGTGAGGGACCCAGGTTGGGTCCTAGGCCCTAGTGGGTTCCCAGGATGACTGGAGGGGAGAATGAACCTTTCAATACTAACTTTCTATCTTTGACTGAGCAAACCAGCCACTTCCCTCATCCCCTGGCCCTGAGCCCTGGAGATGGGCCTGCCTGGTTCCTGTGTTCCTGGCTGCAAGCCCCCTACTCAACACTTCACATGCTCCTGGACACCCCCATGGCCTGGGGCTTGGCTCTGTTCTCTCTCCTACAGTTGCCCAGGAAAATAGGCGGTGTGTGGAAACTACTCCAGATTGCCCGTTCCTGCCCTGCCACTGGGGAATTGCTTAGTTCCTGCTGCAGGTAGGGACACAAGGGGAGAGGGGGACACAGTCACCAGATGTGGTAGCAGAGCTCACCAGGGCTCAAAGACTCAAAATTAGACCACCCAAGCAAAGAGCAAACTCAATTGCCCCCCCCCATGCCATAGACCCGGGGGGTGGGGGGCGCAGGAAGGCACATTAGGTCAGAGGGCACCTTAGCCCCAGCCCATCCTGAGGCTGCAGAACCAACGGGCAGGTGCTTTGGGCCGGGATGGTGTGTGGGCGGGGCTAGATCGGCTCCACCCCTCCCACCAACCCTTCAAGAGGAAAAACACCTATGCCTACTGCCTGCTGATCCTACAGGCCAGAGGGGCGGCGGGGGCGAGTGGAGGGACACTCCAGGTCTACCAGCTGGCCCAGGTCCTTAAGTAGCCTCTGGGATCTGACAGTTCATGCAGGAGCCCAGTCTAACTAGTCCCACCTTAAATTGAAACTACGCGGAGTGAACCAGCTCCGCCCTATCCTCCACGACCCAGCAGGTACAGCCACCAGATCCCAACGAGCCAGATCCTTCCCTATCCCCATCTTTCCATCTTTCTGTGGGTTTTTTGGCCCTTCTTGTTCTTCCTGAGACTGTGGGGATGGGCAGTCCAGAGGTGTACAAAGTCCCCAAGGGTCCGCCCTCCCCAGGGAGCCCGAAAACCTGCGATCAAGGACCTGGGCTCCAACCCACTCTGCTGCAGGTCGCTCTCGCCTCACCCCCTGCTCAACTGGGCGGGGGTTTGATACCTCCGCCCCACCCTGTGGCTGCAGGCGCCGGCGCTGGGCGGAGGACAAACACTGGAGTCACATGGCTGCGGCCCTGGGAAACTCCGCGGAGGGCCGGGGCCGGGCCGCGCCGGCTGATGGCAACGGGGTGGCCCGGCGAGAATTCCCAGACCCTGTGACCGGGCCGCTTCCTTCGCTCGTGACCCTATTCGGTTTACTCCAGTGGTCACCGTGGGACGTCACCGTGGGACGCACCCGCTCCTGGGCACTCACCGCTAGCATCGGGCTCCGGGGAGCGCACGCGCGGACACGCGCACACACCCCGAGTAGACCGCGCACGCACTCGCCGGGCAGGAGACCCGGGACGCCCGCCAGGGGACACACGCACGCCGCCGCCCTCGGACGTAAACAAACCGCGCACACACCGCCCGCGGGCGCCGGGCCAGGGAC